CGTCGACGGCGTCGCCGACGGCCACGGAGCTGTAGAGGCCCGGCGGCGCCCGGTCGAGCATCTTCCGGGAGACGTCGTTGGCGTGGACGCGGCAGCCCGGCGCGAGCGAGCCCGAGAGCTCCTTCGCGAGGAGGCCCGTGCCCGCGCCGACGTCGAGGACCGACGCCCAGCCCCGCGCGTCGCCGCGGATTTCGTCTACGAGCGCGGCGGGCCCGCGGTAGACGAGCTTCCCGACGAGGTCCGCGTCGAAGTCGTCGGCGTAGCCTGGGCAGGAAAAGAGTGCGAAATTCCCAACTTCAAAGGCTCCTCTCTCGGCCGTTTTCCACTCGCTTCGGCTGATTTTTGGACGAGCGATCATCTCTCGGAACGGTCTCGAAGCATGGATGCTTTTTATAGAACGCGCGCGCGCGGAACACTCACATTGAAGCGACGTTGAATCACCCTTTTCCTGCCCTGGGCGTAGCCGTCGAAGAGGAGGGCCGCGTAGGCCGCGTCCTCGGCCGCGTCGCCGCCGCCGTCGTCGCCGCCGTCGCCGAGGCGCGCGCGGAGGCCGCGGAGCAGGCGCTTCGCGACGACGTCGTCCCCGGCGAGCGCCAAGTTCTCCGCGGCCTCGCGCCAGCGCTCGAGGCGGTGGAGCGCCACTCCGAGGTGCAAGCGCGTCGCCGCGTCGTCGCCGCCGCGGGCGATGGCCGCGCGGTAGCCCTCCACGGCGGCCTCGGTGCGGCCGAGGTCCGCGAGCGAGTTCGCGCGGTTGTAGAACAGCGAGGGCTCGTCCGGCAGCAGCGACAGCGCGCGGTCGAACGCGGCGACCGCGTCGCCGTGCGCGCCGTCGGCCGCGTGGGCTTCCCCGAGCGCTCCTAAAAATTCCGCGTCGTCGGGCTCGAGCTCGACGGCCCGCTTCAGCGGCGCGATCGCCTCCGCGGGCGCGCCGCCGCGCGCGAGCGCGAGCCCGAGGTTGTAGTGCGCCGTCGACGACGACTCGTCGAGCGCGGCCGCCGCGCGAAAGTGCGCGAGCGACCCGGCGTGGTCGCCCGTCGACAGTGTTGCGACGCCGAGGCCAATACGTGCCGCAGCGTCCTCGGGCCCGCAGGCCTCAAAGTCGGCGCGATGGCGCCCGCAAAGTCGCCGCGGGACAGCTTGGTGCGCGCGGCGTCCCGCAGCGCGCCGTTGCTGCTTTGCAGCGCGTGAAGGCGCCGCTGGAGCTGCTGTTGGACTGGCAGCAGCGCGCTGGTCGTCGTCCAACACGCGAGCATCAGAAGCGCGAAGACAGCGGGTTTCATGCTAGGGCGCAACGCTCTCCGCCTCGACTGCACTGCTACAGCAAGTTGCTCAAGTTGAAGCGCGGGGCAGCCCGATGTGATGCCTCATCCATGCTCTAGCAGTCGTAGCAGCGCAGCCGCGCTCGCGCTAGCACTCCCGTAGACGCAGAGCTGCAATGCGCACGACAGCGATCGCCGCCGCCGCGCTGCTGACTGCGGTAACAGCGCGCGACTGGGTGGCGCTCGCCGCGGCCCGCGCGGCGGCCGACGAGCCGCGCGCGTGCGGTCCCAACTGCATGGACCTGCGCACGCCCTACCTCGAGTCGAGCGGCTGGGGCGCCGCGCGCTATTGCGCCGCGCCGCCGTGCTTCGTCGTGCGGCGCCTGTCGAAGACGGGCGGCAGCTTCCTGTCGGGCGTCGTCGAGCGCGTCGTCGCGCGGAGGCGCCGCGCGGTCATCAAGGACGACGCGCCCGTGCCCTGCGCCTACCGGTCGAACGCGTCGCTGGCGGCGAGCTTCTTCGTCGGCGTCGTGCGCAACCCCTGCGAGTTCTACGCGTCGCTCGCGCAGGACGTGCCCGAGCAGGCGTTCGCGGAGCCCTACGGCGCCGCCGAGCCCTGGTTCCGCGGGCCCGTCGTGACCAAGGCGGAGCTCCGCGCGACGCGGCCGCAGCGCAACGGCAGCGGC